AACATTTGCCTCGCATTTCAGGATGAAAAGACAAACATTTCAGGTGAAGGATAATCCACTTCTTACCTCCGAGACTGTGTTATGATCTATATGACCGTATTATTTTTATTGTCAGTATTAGGCTTAACATTATTGCTGATCGCTGTTGTTGTGCTATGATATTGTAATATTTACCATTATATATTCAGAGGGGTATAGAAAAGTTTATGAAAGTGTTACTCCACAATACAATAGCAAAATATATAAATATGTATAGTATTTTTATGTTACATTAATCAGTATTTAGCACACCTTCCACACAAAGGAAATGATATGGACCAGAAGACATTGCAATTACTAACCCACCAAACAAGAGAAAACGTATCTCAAACCCCGTTGCACACCGTTTCCAGGAAACATGTCGTTCAAACCGGAAACCGTAGCAAAACGGTGCACATCGATTTGAGCTTGAACTTGCCCCTGTTTTCCGGGTTTGGTCAGGTGACTTGAGTATAAAATATATATATATATATATATATATATTTTAAGATAATGTGAAAAATTAAAATCAGCTTGAGGTGATTTTGAAAATGATTTCAGAAGCCCCCACAAGATGTGTCAATAATATTTACAGGGCAGATCACTCTGGTTAAGAAGCGATCGTGTCACATTAAACATCTCATGAAATCTAACCAGCTACTTTCTCATGGATTATTTCAGAATGCTTTAAAATATTGTATATAATAAATTTGGCCTAAAAAAAATAAAAGCTTTGTCAGTTTTGACTTTGTTGTTGGTCGAACTGACCAACCTGCTATTTCTTTGCTTCAAAAGGCTCTTTAGAGAGAATGTAGAACAGGTGAACCGCTGAAGTGTTTTTGTTTTGTGGAAATTGTAGCGTATGCGCATTTTAACTTTGAGGACATTAGAAGGTTTTTCACCCGATTATATTGTATAATAATACATTGTATATATATATGTGTGTGTGTGTAATCATACTATCTTACAGGCTTAAACCATTAGGCCTATTTGAATTCAATATTTTGAAGGTTTTTTTTTTTAGTTATTTTTAGGAACAGAGCTCTGCAGACTTTTTAAGTCATGGTTACACATCTATTACTTGACAGATTCACCTCATTTTCCTTCTGATGTCCCTGGTTTAGTTGCTCTATCCCTTGTTGTGCTGTGGGACGACACTTTATGCTCCGTCGGGGTTTTACGGGAGGTTTCTTGGTTGTGGGATTATTCTCTGGAGCTACAGATGGACGGGGCTTTGGTCTCGGGTAATGGACAGGAAGAGCGCTCAATCGCTCTTCTCGCTGCTGAGATGCAGCATCTGTACAGAAATAAAATTAATCCTCCTAAATTTGATCGTTAAAGCAAACAGTATTGAAACACTTATCAATAGTAAATGAAAGATGGATGTGATTTAATTTCAATTTAATATGCTAAAATATTCTCTTATAGTGCCTTACAACCTTCGATCGGACTATTATTTGCCTTTTGAATGTATTAATCTTTAAATACATTCAGATGTTTAATATTAACTTGTAGATGTGAGTATCTAAATATCAGATGTCAGTGTGCAAGATTTAGAAGTTGAGATACAGTTAGAACCACACCAGTAGAGTCAGGCTCAAAATAACCCTGAACGGAAATGTCACGTTCTCTACAAGCACGTCAGCAACACAGAACATTCTAGATACCAAACAAACAACAAAACAATAATGTTACAAATATTAAAGGCTCTGTGTAACACTAATGCTGTGTTGAAAGATTATGGTATAGCCATGCAGTCAGAATCAGTTGTGTCTGAGAATTATAGTATAGTAAGGAGTATTATCATGTAGATTTGTGTTGTTATTTTATACTACACAAAGTCCAGGACATTTCTGTTTTTTAAACTAACTCCCAATTCTATATTAATGCTAGATTGCCTATAATCTATTTTAACACATTAAAACAAAATAAGCACAGCTTGAGCACCATATAGCTTCATTCTGACAGTATAACCTAAAAAAATATTTATTTTCACAAAATGATAAATTAAATAAGTATAACCTTGTCAAAATAACAGCTATATCTGACATTCTAATAAATATGGACATTTTAAGATTTTAAAAGAAAGCATTTCCAGTCGTCAGTGTACCGTCAGAAGAAGCAAGTAAACACAACTTATCTTAAAACCATCAGGTTGTGTTTTGTTTATTTTTTGTAATAAAACACATTTGATTTCTACCTTAGAAAGAATTATTATGTAAGTTCAAAAGGTGTTGAGAGATATCTGACCTTTAATCTTTTGGTAGTCAAAGTCCATGCTCAAGTGCAGGGTGTAAAATGTTACCTCTTCCTATCTGTTCTTGAGTGTTTCTGCCTCATCCTGTTTAAATGCATGTGTGAGTGAGAGAGAAAGAGAGCGGAAAAGGTCACAGGCAAAGAACTGATAGTGAACTGTGGGTGATTGTGTGCCGATTTCATTTTTAAACTTCTTGTGAAATATTCAACTGATGTACTAACGCTCAAATAAACAACCTAACAATTTGCACTGATTTTCAAAATTTGCCATGCACTGGAAAAAAAAAATAGTGTGGAAGCAAAATTGCATCAGAAATTGCTAGTAAATTTCACAAACAGTTACAAAGAAACAGAAAGTAACACATCGAATTAAATGTGAGCTTTTGAAGTAGAGAAACTGTAGTTGTATTTTTTTTAAAAACATATTACAATATTTGTTTGTTTATTTATTTATCATTTTTACAGTGTGCCACAATTTATGGATTTTTTTAATCATTTGAACTACAAGTACACAATTACCAAATTCTTTAAATCAACGCTTTGAAAAGATATGCATTAACATAACTTGCAAAAATGATATGTAAAAGTGGAGGTCCTCTTAAAATTATTCACTTTTTAATCATAATATCATGTTACTGCAGTTTTATTGAGTTTCTGTAGATTTTTTAAAATGTTTTTTAATGTCTGTCTATAAAACAAAACTCATGCTGTTTAAAACTATCTTTAGAATGTTTCCCTCTTCAACACAAATTGTAAACATCTACATTTGTGTCTATGTATCCTGTATCTATGTGCATGTGCTTTTTATGTATGTTTATTTTTAAGCACAGTGAGAGTGTTGTTAGGGTGAGAGAGAAAGAGTGAGGGTGTGTTTGTGTGAGAGAGAGAGAGAAGAGGCAGTTGCGTCACATGACTTGCTCACCACACAGGATGAGAAAGAATGACCACAATGAACAAGAGAGGTGAGAAAAATAGAAAGAGATGACAAAAGAGGTATACAAATGGTAAGCAAAGTACTGTGCCCAATACCCACAAGCTTTACTTTAACATTTCTTTATAATGTATTGGGATACACAATGAGATTTCTTCTTTGTCTTTCTTCCTCGCTTTTTTTCCCTGTATTTTATTTAGGCCCATATTATTATAATGTTATTATGATGTTATTATTAAAATTATTAAAAAAAATAACATTATGATGTTATTTTTGTGAACTCGTATCTTTAGTCCAAAATAATTCTCAAATTAATTCTTATTTAACAACATGGTTTGCTTTTGTGTCCATTGTCTTTTATTTGTTTATTTATTTATTCTCTTTCCAAAATAATTACTAACAGGACCGTTACAGAGCATCTCCACTAGATGGCGCACGTGTGTTAACATTCAGAATGAAATTCGGCACGAGACAGGAATGAAAATTACCTGTCATTCATTAGGCTCCACAATAGCCACTCATAAGTCATGCATACCAAACTATATACAACGGTTTTATTTAACGTGATTGTCATGCACATTTTTCCCTCTTTCTATGCGTTCCACTTCCTTTTAATCTGATTCAAAACGTCTGTTTCAAAAATGTGTTGGTTAAATAAGAACAGCTGTCCAGCCATTAGATCTGAGCTGAGTCCACTGTAATTCTTGCCTGCACTATTAGTCACCTTAAGTAATTCTCCGAAAATTGTCCGACTTGTTTCTCCTGCTTAAATGCACAAACGAGTCCTTTTTTTCTGCTGCAGAAATGCATCATTTTAGCCTCAATCTCTCAACCGTGAATTCCAGGGGTTTATGGAGCTGCAGAGAGAGAGTTACCTATGATACATCCACCCCCGTTTTTCATGAGGTGTGCTGTGGCAAGCAGTTTTAACATTTAGTGCTTAAAACTAACTAGCGTCGGCTATGTTACAAATGTATTTTTAATTACATGTAAGTAATCCAATGGCAACCAATATATTGTTGAGTTTTACTAGTAACTATTAGATGGTAGTACTTGTTTGCAAGTTAATATTTGTTCCAGTAGTAGGTCAAATAGTTTTTGTAGTAAAAAGTTATTCACATTTTCAGTTTAACTTGTAAATATTTATTAGAAGCTGATCCTTATTCCTTTGCTATAGTCACTATTTTAGTGGATAAGTTATTTTTGTGGATAAGTACTTGTTCCAGTGTTACTAGTAAATAATACTATTTGTTTGTATGAATTCTATGAGCGTGTGGTTCAGATATTCTCTTGCAACTATGTAGGCTATTCCTATTGCTGATACCCATTCCAGTTTTTACTAGAATTGGGCTAATTACTACAACTTATTATTTAATTTTAATTTAGTTACTTGTAACTGTAATAAATAGTTACTGTCATTTATTCAGGATTATTGAATAGCATACTGGTACCTATTTATAGACACTCATATCTTTCCCAACTGCTCTATTAAAGAATAGCTACTACCTAATGAATAGTTACTACTAGTAAAATTAGAATAAGTGCCTGCTGAAATCAAAATATATAATGATGTGACATAAATGTGATTAGTTGGTATCTGAGTTCCACATATGATTGGATTATATAGTAGTCACTATAGTTGTTTTAGTAGGATTAGTAGGATGGATTGCTTACTATAAATTTTAAGAAGTTAGTTACAAAAAGTGTTAATGTTGAGGCGTAGTGTTAAAACGGCTTGCCACATGCGGGCACTCACTGTACAGACATGGTCAACATGAGCGTTTCCTCATTTCAGTACTAGCGCGTCCGCAGCCAGAGGAGCTCCGGAGGAAATACCGTCCGTCAAACAGACACGACTTCATGACGGATCTATGCCAGGTACGTCCCATAATTCAACCGATTCTTCAGGTTACAGGGGATTTGACATTGAATAGGCTCTTCTATATGAAAAAAGGGAGATACGAGAAAATAAAACTTGAACATCTGTCGCAGTGCATGATAGAAGTTACAAGGAAATGGACATTCATTTAATCGTTGCATCGCGATCGTGACACTTTGGGGCTTCCTAGGTGCGTAGCTCAGAAACACTCGCAGTGGAATATTGAACAGACACGACACGCGAGAATGAGACACGAACAAGTTTCCACACGCAGGTTTCGTTCGTGTTCTGCACATACAGAGTCGACAGGAGACGTTCGATTTGGTTATATTTGTTAAATTATTATGTGATTTCGTTTCATCGCATGTGGGAGTTTCTGTCATTGTCAGACCAAAGCAAAACGGAGCAAAAAGCAAAAACTGCAGTTTAAAGGTTAACTTAATTTCATTCACATTCTCTTTCAAGATTTGTCAAGACTGCTTCAGTGTAAAAACCCTGTGTGAGTTTCAAAACTGCCAGTGACTTTATTACGTTGTTTAAAATAAAATAACCAAGTAAGATTGTTGCATAGTTAGTGATAGATAAGTGGTTATCACCTAGACCTAACTACCAGGGTCTGGCTAACAAACCACAAACCTCCCAGGCCCTGAGGGTAAACAATTAGACCTGATCTTTCCTCTGGATTTAGGGTTTAAAAAAACAAACAAAAAAAAACAAGAGATGCAATTTTATTTTGTCCATATTTGGTTTGCAGCGCATGGATTTAGCTGAAAGGCGCATTGGAAAGGCGTTACTGATTGCATGTGTAATTTTGTCCTCACATTGTAAAAGAAGTTGTCAGGTAACCTATGTGATTCATATGATAACATCTAGTTAACTGCTTTTATTCAAGTCAAAACTGTATTTTAACATGACTCAATCAGCCTAACTTATAGTTATATGCATGTGCTTGTGGTGGGTTTCCTGGAAGCTTGTGCTGAAAAAAATAATGGCATTAAAATAAAAATTACAAATGTTTTTCTTGGTTTTGTCAATTGTTAGACCTTGTTTTCCTCATTTATATTGTTGTAGGGGAGAATCTGTAGCTCTAAGACTAAAATAAAACCAAGGATGTGGTCATTATTTTGGGGCGTTTTATGGTTGGCGATATGATCCTAGATTTAGCAGGCAGTTTTCAGGCTTTGGAATTGCGCTTCAAGTTGTTTCTTTGAGGGAATGAAAGCAAGCTCATGCTCAAATTTCAGAATTCACTCACTTGAACTCGCACATTGTCACACATTTGACTCAGCTGAATTTACAAAATAAAGTACCTAACATAATGTGATGGAAGATAAGCTCTATCCTTATAGTGTATGTAGCCTACCTTTTAAGCTAAAATATTGCAAAATGCAGTAATGATGCAAAAATGACAACACAAGCTGAAACAAATAGTTGAACATAGTTTTACTGGATATGAGTGTGTAATTTGACACTGCTGAGTGAGTGTTGCTCCAATGAAGCAAAAGGGGAGTTTTTTGTTTTGCAATGAAGGCTATTGTTCTGCTCTTTGGCTTTTCCCCTGGTATTTTACTGTAGGAAGCTGAAGTGAGATGGGTGGGGTGATATTTTGGAATAGCTGTTCTGTTCCCTCTATAACACAGTTGATGTGCACTTTAAACAACGCAACTGATGTGCAAGCTAAACACTTTGAATGTCCAGTGTGCTCTGTAAACTTCAGTTTGGCACACAGAAATATAAGCTGTTGTCTTTATCATCACAGAGCAATGCAGATGGATTCAAGAACATGAGATGTGTGGTATGATTGCATGTGTGTATGGCGTGTGTCTTCTAGATACAAATGTTTGATTGTATCTGCTATGTAAAATAACTTTTTAAAGTCACTCCCTTGCTTGTTTTTTCTCTTTCAGCTTCTAAGCACTGAGCTCTGGTTGGCCGACTGGCTGCTTCAGACACTGTTAGACTTTGATCAAACACTTTTTTTCTAAAGAAAATGTGTTTGGTTTGTTTCTGTGTGAAACTAACAGCCACAATGCTAGACAGCTGCTTGCTAGGGTATGGTTATATCGTTGCTATAGGGTATTCTGGGTGGTTGCTAGAATGCACTGTGTGTTTGCTATAGGGCATTTATGGGTGATTGCTAGGATGTTCTGATTGCTATGGCATTGCTGGGTGGTTGCTAGGGCATTCTGTGTGTTTGCAAGGGCATTGCTGGGTGGTTGCTAGGATGTTCTGATTGCTAGGGCATTGCTGGGTGGTTGCTAGGGTGTTCTGGTTGTTAGGGCATTGCTAGGTTTGTTAAGGTGTTTTAGTTGTTGGTAGGGCAATGCTATGTGGTAGCTATGGCCAGTGGCGCCTTAAGATAACCAAAGGCCCCTGGGCTACAGCATTACAGTAGGCCCCCCGACCCCAGAAAACCTTTTTTTTTTTTTTTTTAAGCTTCCTAACACTTATTTGTCAAATTTCATTTTTTGTCTTTTTAATATGCCAGTTAAGATTCACAACACTGTTCTGCGTAAAATGTGAATATAAGCAAATATGCAAATTCACTCTTTGCCACAAGGTGGCGCTTGTGGAACAGCAGAATTATATG